AAAAAAGTGAAGTTTTGTTGAAATTGGTTGAAAAATGTAGGTATTAAATTTCTCAAATCTTTTAGTTTTTACAATTTATGATTTTTACTTATTGAATACAGTAAAAAAAATTGTCCAGTATAATTTCCCTTTAAAGTTAATGAAGGTTTTATTTGATGTAGTAATGATTTAGTAATAATTTGCTTGTGCCATGCATTTTGTCCATATAAAACTTGTAATGCTTCAGAAAATTATAAATTTTATAATCCAAATAAAGTTGATACCTTTTGTATCTAATTGAATGGAAAATATATTCAAAGCAGAATTTTAATTATGAAACATCACAAGCAAAATATGCGACTATTTTGCTGTACTTGAAAAGTAAAAAAAAGTATTAAAAAAAAGAATTGTAAAAGATTACAAAAAAGGCTACTCAATGAATAAGATTTGTTTGATTATAATTAAGAAAAACAAATAAAGATAAAAGTGTATATAAAACCATAATACTGCTGAGCACAAATTATAAGACAAAATGTTTTAAATTTGCATTGTTGATTGAAAATCACATTAAAACTACAGCATTGTATACCATATTACATCATAATATAACTAAATTGTTCAGTATAATTTTTCTTTGAAGTAAATGAAGGTCTTATTTGATGTAACAATGATTTAGTAATAATGTGCTTGTGACTTGCATCTTGTCCATATACAATTTGTGAAGTTTCAGTAAATTATTAATTCTATAAGGCTTTCACGGATCAGTGGAATTAAATTCCAATGCTATGATTTTGAACTTAAACTTAATCTTTAAACTTGTTTCCTCAAAAAAATAGTAATGAGTTGGAAGATTTTTTGGTGTCATTATTTATCATGTCAAACCCCAACTTTCAAATTGAGTGGAATACCATGGTTCCAAAATTGACCTGACCTATTGTACATATTGACCCTACAAGGTTCATCCACCCTCTAACAGATTTTGTTTTTAACCCTGCTGGGAGTCTGGCCACCCTCCTCACTAGAAAAACCTGGTGAGTGAACCTGTTTAGTCAATGATGACCTGATCATACAGCAGGTAACCATGTAACCCAGTTAATCAAATGGCATGAAGAAAAATCAAGATTTCATTATGATTTAACTTTTGTATTGTATATGATTTAAGTAGAGCTGAACAAATTCAAAATTTTATCTTAAATTTTAATCTTACATTATTTATTAAATTATTTTTAAAAGAATTTTCAGGCAAGCAATATGGCTTACACTTCTAAAGATCAACTGCTGATGTATTAATGACTATCTTAGAAGCTGCCCTGTCGGGTGTCATTTATATATATATCGTTACTTTCTGTACAAACAATTTTTATTTCATGGGTGACTTTTGTTGGATTTTGCAATTGATTTCGTTTATTCCCAAATTTATTTCCAAGTTATAAAAATTATTGTATAAAATAAATTTGTCACAAAAAATCATGTAAAAAAAAAAAAAAAATCACTGAAAACAATGGCAGTAATAAAAACTTGGGATTCCAAAATTACAGGATTGTGAGTTTGGATCTGTCTCAGAAAGTTTTTAATTTGTTCATGACGTCAGCCTGATTCCAAAATGGTATGATATGTTGAACTACTGCCTCTAGAAGTAAAGTTGAAAAAGCGTGAGACAGTGACACACTGACATTTGCATTCATTATATATATATATATATATATATATATATATATATTGACATGAAAATTGAAAGTGTCTATCAAGCTTTAGAAGGTTGGAGTGTACAATGGCTGAAACATTGTGAATATGGAAATAAAGTTGAGGATGATAGTTCGAATGATGTAATTAGTTACAATACCTCAACTCAGAAATATAGACAGAAATTATCATTAAGTACAGAAAATAAAATCCTCGTTTGCATACAAGAAAAATATAATAAAAAACTTAACAAAGGTATGTTGTTAGTCTTTTTTTTTATATAGATGTGTGATAAGAATATAATTTTAAGGTATGCTATAGTTATGGGAAAAAATGCTCAATATCAGGAACCGTGTATGAAAATAGATAGGTGGACATTGAGGTCAACACAGTTTGTTTCATGCCTAAATGTAATCTTTAGGCCATGAAGATTGTGGTCAAGCATGAAACAGACAGTTGACACTCGGCATTGACCTTAATGTCCACTTCTATCTTAATGTGTATTTGGGAAGCAACCTTTCTTTTATTTACATTATTCAGACTGTTATCCTCATCTTCATTGTCATATTCACGTTTCAGCTGTCGTACACTCTGACCTTCTTCAGGTGATTAGAATTTCAAACTGAATCCTTTATTTTGTTCACTGGGGTAGACTGTTCTAGTTTCATGTGCTATGCCTCTTCCAGATGTCTCAGTTTATTAGTATTATTAGTTTATTAAAAGTATAATTAGACATGAAAATTTTATTGACTAGTTATTGAATTGTTATATGTGCTGTTCAAAATATCCTTTTTTTTATTCAAAGCACATTTAATATCTGTGCCTGCATGATTCATTAATATGTCAAAGTTTCCTATCATTTTATGGCATTGATATTTATTTCTTTCTTTAAGTTCCTCAATATTTCTTGGGTGTGTCTGAAAAACAAATAATTTCAAATGGTCCCACTGAAAGAAAAATCCAAGGGTGTGAGGTCTGGGGATCTTGGTGGCCACTCAACAGGACCTCTTCAATTTTTTATCCATTAACCCCTATGGCGTGCAACTTTTGTCTCACATTGTGTATGTGTGTGTATATATATATATATATATATATATATATATATATATATATATACACACACACAAAGATTAAAAGCGTTATGCTGGGGTTTTGACAAATATTGGATCGTTTCTTGGCCTTAGGCTGAGATGGATCAAAAAACTAGTTTGGACTGGTTCCGGCCTGGACTTGCTAGGACAAGTCATGACCAGCTTTGACTAAGCTCTGACCAGCTTGGACATGCTATGACCAATTTTGACCAGTGGCTTTTTGGTGGAAACACTAAAAAAAACATTAATTAAAACCTTGTGTCACATCTTGACCTTGTGGGAGTCAAGTAAATACCTATATATATATATATATATATATATATATATATATATATACACACACACACACACACACACACACACACACACACACAGAGGGTGCGATGGATAAATTGTCATCTAAATTACACAAAAATCAAAAATAACACTGACATCTCATAACAGATATATTTACCAAAATCACACAAAAATATCTTGAAATACTAAAGAGTAAATTTATTCAATAAAATTGCCATTGGCTTCAACCATGGCCTCCAGCCGACTTTAGAATCTCCTGCATCTCTTCTGGACGGTCTCTTTGTTTATGTTGGGGAATGCTGCCATAATCCTTGCCATCATTGGTGTTACAAGGAGATTTATTGCTAAACTGGGCCCCCACACACAATAATCAAGGATGTTGAAGTTTGGGGAGTTAGGTGGCCAGATATAAGAGGTGATGTAGTTGCAGAAATTGCCTGACAGCCATGACTGGGTTCTCCTGCTTGTGTGGCATGGCGCAGAGTCCTCTTGCCAGATATTGGATCTTGCAGCAGCTACCCTTTTGACCCAGGGCAGCACTACCTCTTCAAGACACTTGTTATAGGTCTCCGTGTTTAATCTGAGGCCCTGTGGCAAGATGAGTGGAGACATAACATTGCCATTATTAGTGACCACTCCAAACACCATTGTAATTACCATTAGACTCATCCAACTCTTTCCGAACCTTCTGCACTGTCCTCAGATTGACACCCAAACACTCTGAAATGTTCATATTGGAGATTTTGGTATGAATGCCAAGGAGTACAGCAGGCCATTTCCAAATTTCTGATGGAGTACTTTGTGTCATGGTGCTTTTTCTTTTCTTTCTCACTGGCACAAAATTAAATATATAAAATGGCGACAATTTAACGTGTGTGTTTATATGTATATATAAATATATATATATATATATATATATATAATGTAGAAAGGACTATTCTAAACAATGAGTTGTTCCTTGACCTGATCAAAATTGTGCATAAACTGTTCAAAGTTCATATTTTGTTCTTTTTTACTAAAATAAACTAATTAAAATACCGATTTACTAAGCATTGGTTAAGTGTGGCACAAGGCCATGAGTGAAACGCACACAGTGAGTTCATTCTCCTTAAAGTAAATACTAATTAGCCACATTGATGTTTCTTCCTATATATATATATATATATATATATATGGCCTGACGATTTCATCTAGCATGAAACAGCCTGTCACCTCTAAGTGGTGACTTCAATGTTCACTTTTACATTTACACACACTCTATCTCTGATATTGAGCACTTTATCCCATAAATATAGCACACCTTAAACTATATTTCTTTTGTGACTTCCATTTGTCTATCCATCCCACCTTTTAAAATAGCCATACATTGACTGATTGAAACCAAATTTTGTGGGGAAGTGCAAACAGGAAAAGTGTTACTAGGATGTGTAGCTTAGTACAATGAATCTTCATTAATTATTTTGGAAAAATTAAGTTTTATTCTTTAATGTACAAAATACTTGCACTATTTTAAAAACAATTTAATGATTAAAGTAACAAATACTTAATAAAAATGCAATATTGTTTTTGGCATATCTTTTCTTTGAGTTTTTATATTTCATTGATTGGTTTGCGAAATTGAATGAAACATAGAGTTTGTAAATCTCAAACAAAAATACCAGTGTGTTGCAAAAAAAAAATTCTAGTAATATAAACAGCAAGCATGATTATTTCCCTTGTTATTGCAAACATTGGTCTGGGATATGTAACTTTATTGGTCAGTTTTTGGTGGCATTCATGAAAGTAAGCACTCTGAGTACTTTCTAGTTTTTAAAAAAAAGGTGTTGTGATTTTATTTTTGTCTTTCAAATGTTAATAGTAGCAGAAAATTCACCCAACATTGCATTTTATTTTAAAAGGGTTACTGCTTTTATTGATTCTTGCTTTTTTTTTTTTTATTTCTTTTGCTAGCTGGATGTCCGCTTCTCAGAGCCGTTCTTACCCAAGCACAAGAAGGTCCTGCAGGAGGTGGGAGAGGAGATCTACATGCCTTTCCGTATCATTTTGAACCATGAATCTATATCTCCCAAGCTTAAAAGTCATGTATATCCTGTGAGTACCCAACCAGAGTTTGATGCTTGGGAATCTCTTTGGGGTGGGACAAAAATGTTTCCACTCCAGAGAAATTCCAAACAAACCAACAGAATAGAAGGAAAAAAAAAAGAAAAAGAAATTCCAGTATAGTTAATCATTACAGCAATTAAATTAAAATTAAAAATCAATTTTGCAGTTTATTTGAAGACAGGGTTAAAATGTCAAAACGTTTCCTTAGTTGGTTGTCTATACTTCTGTTCTTTTAATATCTTCAGGTTTTTGGAAGTCACTTCACTAAGACTTGCAAGTTCTTCCTTTTTCTAAGGTATTTTCTTATCATGGAAGCTGAAGGTAACTGCCGTTATTACTAGTTTACCGATGATGGCAAAATTTAAGTAATTTAGTAATTGCATATCTTATATTTTCCGCATGAGGCATCTAGGACTTTTATCTTTATAATTAGTTCCATTGTCGCATGTAAGAAAGAATTTTGCTTTTTAAAGTCATTAAAAGTATTCAAAGAAAGCAAACACGAAAGTATAAAGCATTGTTTTAGAAACCTGTCTACTTAGTGATGAGATATTCCGTTGTTATGGTAATGAGTTTGTTTTGATTTGTTTTATAATGCCTTGTATGAATATAATTTCCTGGATATTTCATTACTAAGTAACTACACCAGTATTTTTTTAATTTCTTATTGTAGAGAGGCTTATCTCAAAGCATGTTTTTAGTTTTGTTTCCATCTTTAGAACTGCCTGATAAAAATGTTTTTGGTTACTCTCAATTTTCTTTAGTCTCAGTGTTTCGCGTTTTTTTGTTTTTTTTATAGTTTTATTAATCTTAGGGTCAATCAAAAGTATTTTCATTTTTTAACATCTTGACTTCTTGATGTTTTTGGAGAGAATTAAGGACTAAATGTCACTTGCAAGAACACAGAATGCATGTTTGTTAGCAAAGGGTCAGCCCAACATGCAAATTACAAATTGGGAATAACAAAATCAAACAACTACAGCAATGTAAATATCTGGTAAGTGTTTTAACAGAGGAGAAAAAGTCGACACTGAAATCTGAAGGTGCACTTCGATAGCCAAAGATGCATTTCAAAATGCATTTTATTAAGAAACAGAAGAATTTGGTTAGAAATAAAGAAAAAAGTACTGTTAAATAATATTTGTACTGTGAATGCTGAACAATCCTCAAAGATGAAGAAACTTGGAGTATTAGAAATGTAATTCCACAGAATGATGCTGATAATATAGTGACTGGACATGTGAGCAATGCCAAAGTTTTAGAGAAAATGGAAACAAAGTCCTGTTTGTTTCCAGTTTCTCTAAAACTTTATCACTGCTCTCTTTGTTCTCTTTGGTGCACACTGCTAGCAGAGTGTCCATGTTTACACTGAAAAGGCAGCAAGAAAACTGGTGCAATTAAGCTCAAACTTTGATCTTGTGACCACAGTAGTACAAACTATTACCAAACATGAACAGGAAACTGTGTGACAAACCTAAAGATATGTTATGGCAAAAGTGCATACAAACCTTGTCATATATAATAACCTAAATTAATGGCAAAATTCTATCTGTCTGAAACCCAATCTAACTCTTGCCACACTTGATCTACATAGACATATTATACCTTTTTGAATCAGGATAAACCCGGGATTGAAAATCTGATCTTCATCTGGTGCTTGAATATCCAGCATTTGGATTTTTGTCTGGTTGAGTAGGGAACAGTTAAGAGTTCAAATTTTAAAATTAGTGATTTTAAGTTTTTATTTTATGTAGAGTCTAAAGTAACATGAAAACTTTCTGAATTTAAATTTTTTTTGTTTTAAATTCAGTTTAAAATATCTCCAAAATTTTGAATTGAGGAAATCAGTTTTATTTCTTTAAAATGCAAAAGCATCAGAGTGAGAGGTTTTGTGAAGTCAGGTTTTGAAGTTCTGCAGAGTTTTTGATTTGAAGAACTCAATTTTTGGCTTGAATTGGAATTTCATCCCAAATCAGAGTTTTGGTACAAATCAGACTTTTGGCCGAAATCAGTCTTTTGGCCAGAATCGAACTTATAGCCTGAATCAGAGTTAAATTGAACTTTTGAAGTTCCATGGAGTGAATTGAAGAATACAAAGTTATTTCTTTAAAATTATCATTGCTGTTTCCTAAGATGGACCAGAGACCCAATTAGCCCTCTGCAGGAGCTTGCTTAAAAGTCTGCATTAGTAATATATGAAATTACAGGTAATCTTTTGATTTGTATGCAATGTACTTTTTTTATACTTTCTTTAGTCAGTCCTTCTTTTGATTAATTTCTGTGCAAGAATTAGCATTCAAATTGTTTAAATGGTTGCTTAGATTTTTATGCTTTTAATTGTCTGAGAGAACCATTTTTACCTGCCATCAGCATGGCTGATTCTAACTTCCAGGAGAGTGATTCCTTGTGCCTTCTTGGACTAACATTTTCAGCTGACATGAAGTGGAAAGATTATATTGAATCAGTTACTAGGCAAGTTGCTTCACTGTGCTAGACAATTTTCCTGTCCAGAATCTATCTTATATATTTATAGGTTTACTGTTCATCCACGCATTGAATATTGCTGTCATATCTGGTCTGGTGCTTCTGCTATGTATTTAGAGATTCTTAAACTACAAAGAATCTGCAATGTTATTGGTCCTCACCTGGCATTGTGGCTTCAGTTACTTTCCCATCAATGTAACATAGTTTCCTTGTGTCTTTTCTATAAATATTTTCATGGTAATTATTCTTTTCATTGTAAATGTTTTGGCTTTAGATAACCCACGTACGGTTGATAAGCTATAAAAAAAAAAAAACAATGACTTAATCATTACCCAGAGGGCTTCATCTATAATGATATAAAAAAAAAAATTTAGAAAAAAATTATTTCTGGTTGCAGTGTCTATTGAGCAATTCAAGAAAATTCTTTAATGTGGTATAAAATAACGTATTTAACTCTTTTTGCTTATTTTTATGCCTTTCATTTTTTTGTTGCTTAAGCCACATTGAAGTCAGTAGCAGATTTGCTGAAGATTTAGTCAAATTTGAGTTTAGTTGCTCATAAACAAAAATCTTGGATATGAAATGAATTTCAGAGAAAAAAATCTGTGGAGATGAAAGTACTTTTGATATACCCTGGTTAACTGGATGGCAAGATAGAAGAAAAACTTGTATGCTAAGTGTTTCGTCCTTTGAAAAGAATTCTTCTGACTAATAATGGTTTTATCAATGGGATCTTATGCATATATTGAAATACAATTATACATTAAGAAATAATTTTACTGTTTGTTGAATTTCATCTTCTCCCTTCATAGATAAAATTCCATCGATAAAACTATTATTTATCTGAAGAAGTCTTTTTGAAGGATGAAACATCTAGCATGTGTTTTTCAATTTTGCTATTCTATTATCAATTTGATAGATAGTATTGCATATCATATTATCCATAGCGTAGTCGTAGATAGTTTTAAGAGTTTTGTAGTAAAGGTCTGTTTTTAAAAAAAAAAAAAAGAAAGGGAAAAACCCTAAATATTTTGTTAAAATAAAAGAAAAACCTTTATTTTTTTTTTTTTTAAAACTTTAATTTCATTGGATAACAAAAGCACCATTTTATTTGGCTATTTTCTGCCATCTTTGTTAGACTTCCAGGGAAGACTTCATGAAAATACTGGAATAAAAGCAGTCCGAAGATTCAGTGCCTGGTTAATACAGTGGATGATTAAAAACTTGTGTGTCAAGTTGGCCAGCAAAGCATTGTGGTTATCCAAATAGCATATTATGCTTTTTTTTTCTTCACTTATTTTGCATGTCTTTCAAATTGGGAAGACTACTTGTTCAAATCAATCCTTTGTTTCTCTGGAAGGAGGTTGTAGTCTTTCCATATAAACAATTAATAGCTGATATCCACTGAGGAGTGGATGGATTGATTCCTGGAGTGTCTGTTTACTAAACTCTAGAATCAAGATTCTAAAGATAATAATCAGTCAGCTAAGTTACAAATAATCAATTGGCTAAGTTTTTATTTGTATTAATCCTATACTTTTCTTTATTTTTTATTTGTATTAATCCTATACTTTTGGCCTTGTGCCACATCTAAGCTACGCTTAGAAAATCAATATATATATATATATATATATATATATATATTCCTTCAATGGTAACATGGTTCAGAGTTTCAAACTAGTTGTGCATAAAATGCCGAATCATGCTACCGTTATGTTGCTTAACTTCGGTTATTGTATGGGAACTGGTATTTCAATGTGATGTGGGCATAAGATTCACACACACACACATTTGTATATACATACACATATATATATATATATATATATATATATATATATATATATATATATATATACACACACACACACAAGTTCCCATACAATAACCAAAATTAAGCAATGCTGAGCCTGGTCAGTACTTAGAAGGGTGACTGCTTAGAAATACCAGATACTGTAAGCCTGGATGTGTAGGTGATGTAATGGATAATGGTTTGGAATTGGAAATTGGAAAGCTTAATTCCAATTTGTTATATTCACATATGTGCAAACAATCTTGGGAAAGGTATGAATCCACCTCTTTTCCCTACCAGCTATGGGTTAATTAGTATAACTTGTATTACTATACCATTATTTTCTCAATAAAAAAACTATATACAATATATTTAAATTTTGACATTAAATAACCCATAGAGGTGAGAGATGTTGTTAAACAAAAGCATCAACCAATCATATATATATATATGCTGCCTAATATAATATGTTTATGAAAACAATTGATCCGCAGTATGAAATTCCGGAGAAAAAAAATCTACTAAGATATATCACTCTATTAATTGAACTATGTACTTAGTTCATGTCACATTAACTGGAAAACACTTACAACAAAAGAATTTGTGGATTTACCAAATTACAAAAATACATATAAAAAAATTCTCACTTGAAATATTTGAACTTTAGCGTTGCAACTTGCACGTTCCAATATTATATATCCATTAATAAATAACACATTCTTAAAAAAACATCTTTCTGTCTACAACACAGTTATTTTGTCTTCAAGTTTTGATTTTAAAGGAAAAAATTACAGTCTGATGATGAGGACATGAAGTTTTTGAAAGTACTTGCTGCTCTAAAAATACACCAGATCCATCTGACAACAATTTTATACATAATGATCACATCATTCAGTGGATTGTTAGTAAGTTAATGCTTATATTAAGTCTGTTAGCGAAGAGATTTCGCCGTTAATTGCATTAATATTGCTAATTGATTCAATGTATGATTATCTCTTTATAATATATATATATATATA